GTATTCTTATGAAGGTTTAAAGGACCATGAGAGTCTGAGTCCTCAGATACACTGATGTGATCCTCAAAGATCCCAGTCCAGGACTCGCAGCACCTTAAAGATGCTAACATGTAGCATGAAAAGAACCTCAGTTGATTTTTAGTCCTGATTTTATGGCTGAAAATTCAACAACATGAGTAAACGTTCAGGAGGAGTAAAGTCGTAGCGTCAATAATAAAAATGTATAAAGTAATGAGACACAACAAAGCATCACTGATAAAAATGTGTGGAGAGAAATGAATTGATGAACGGGCAGAACAGAAGAAAACCGTTTGATCTTCTGTCAGTTTGAGGCTTCAGATCCAACAGGAAGCTTCACACCTGACATGCTGGACGCACTATCTGCTGAATCAGATCGATAACACCCTGATCTGGGAACGAAGCTAAATCTGGAACTAGGTTTCCTGCAGGTGGTGGTCCAGTTGAAGCGGGTCACGTTTGGCGCTGGTGCAGCTCTGAAGGAGCACGTGCTCCGTGAGCCTCCTGTCACGTTCGCAGGCTGAGCTCTTATTAGGCAGCCGCTCTGAACTGCAGCTGTTTGCACATGACTTAACGTTTTCTGCAAGCTCCTTGCTTTTGCATGGGAAGTGCTTAGAAACTAAAATCCACGCCGGCGGGCGTGAGAACACGGGGAGGGAGACGAGGAAAGAGAAGCGCGTCCGCTACTCAGCACTCCCCGGGATTAGAACGTACACATCAACCTGCAAACAGACAGAAAAGCCGACTATAGCTCCTTTTGCAAAAAAAAAAAAAAAGGCAATGAATGTCAATTATGCATGAAGCTGAAGGCATTTTGAGAAATAAGCGCCGTTCCTCAGGAGAACTGGCACCCTCCTCCCCCCTCTGCAAGCTTCCAGCCTGCAGTATCAAAGAATGATCTAATGTCACGCACAGAGGAAAGGTTACTCTCTGCATACACATTGATATTTCTGCTTCCATCTCTGACCTTTCCCCATTCTGAGCTGTGATTTTTTTTTTGTTTGTTTTAAAATGCAAACGTAGCCCTGCCGTCTGTCAGTTCCTCTCCTCCTGAGAGGCACAAAATCAGAACCAAAGCAAAAAGATGGCTTGATAATTACAATTAAACTGCACAAGGCCAATATTTTCCTGCATCCATCATCTGTATTTGTGTTATTTTAGCTTTAATCACCTGCCTGAGCAACATTATTACCGTTTAATAAACCTGAGCTTGTTCTTGTATTCCTTCCTTTAATGCAGCTGATCCTGTTTCACGCTCAGCACCCAGGTTTATGTGTGGTTTCCATCTTTCAGAGGCCAATTAGGTGACATTCCTGCCACTTAGTAAACTATTAGCGACTTGAAAAATAAACAAGGAGCTTTAATTGATTTCCGTGGAATGGATAGAGGTCTGCGTGTGGATAAAAGGATAATGACAGTTTTAATCGGCGCTCTCGCAGGCCTGAACTGTGACTCGGCCATTTTATCTTAAGAAAACAAAAGCAGCGTTTATTAGATGTTTCTCCAAAGAAATGCCCATGATGGGAATGTCGAACCTTTTTTGCGTCTTCAGCCAACTGATGTTTACAGTCAACACTAAGTGTCAGAGGAATAATATCAGGTGCTTTGATACAAAATATTAGACATGCATGGGTACCGACACACGACAAGGTAAAATATTATGTATATAATATTACTCACAAAAGTGTTCTGATACCACTGTATGGCCGTTATGGGTTTCACCTTTCAGTTTAGCTCTTAGGTGGTAGTTTTCTTTATATTTTACAATAATTTTCACTGTATAAGTTACAGTTTTTAAATTTAAATTAGCATACCTGCGACTTATACAGCGAAGCAACGCATTTGTTTTTTTCCCCATATTTATAACCCAATTTTTGTCTTAGATCTGACGATTTCATTCATTCTGACATGAAAAATAAATAACACTACCATTTTCAGCCACTAGAGGGCCCTCGACTAATATGGCAAGCCAAGTGTCTCATTAATATAATGGTGGACGGCTGTAGCTGTGGCTAAATGGTTAGAGCAGTCATCCTCCAATGCAAGAGCTGGGGGTTCGAATTGTAGTGGACTAGGCCCATGTCAAAAACTAAGTCTAAGGTCAAAATCTTGACCTTAAGAACCTTGTGGGACAGGAACTGTCATTTCATTTCATTTGAACTCAGAAATACAGGTTCACCCATCCTGAGACTTTCTTTCTTGAAGATTCAAGTGAAAAGAACACTCTCTTTTTATTATCATTACTATATTACAAATGTTGATAATCAAAATGTCTTAGTTCAAACCATTTTAGATGTTGCAGTGAACTAATCAATTTTATTAACTGAGTAATGATTTTTATTCTCATGCAGTTAGAACTCATGTTAAAAGCTGTTACAGAGTAATTATGCATTTTTCTGATTTCTGCTTTTGAATGAGCAAGTGTGTGCGTTTACAAGGTTACAGTCAAACGAAAAACAAGTTGTTATGTTAAAACTGTCATGTTTTAGAATCCTCTCAGACGTAAGTAGAGATGTTTTGCACCTGTTTCCTGAAACACGCCAAAACAAAACCCTCTCGGTCTGTGAGAACATTTATGATCTGTCTCATAACAATTCTCGCTGTCTCTAACCTCTTACGTCACAAAACCCACCCCGTCTGGTCGTTTCTGACCAATGAACAAATCCCAAAAAGTGAACCGGGAAAGAGTCTTTAAAATGTCAGTACTTCCTGGTCTAGAGAGACTCGGAGTTGGAGAGTTGTCGGAGTTCTAAGAGTTCTGAGAGCGTAGAGTAGGTGAGAGTCTACTCAAGTTCTGCTGAGTTCTGATGGAGTGCTGTTGGAGTTCCTGACATGACAACAAAGCTCTTCCGAGTTCCATGGGATTATAACATTTTCCACTGAGGTGAATATGTGTCGAACAGAGCCTCGCCACTACTTCTGACGAGCTACAGCCATACTAAGGAGACGCTGGACAGGTAGCGTTAACGGAACACCATATCTGCTGATTATCATCAGAAAGGTAATGGGTCAAGTTT